TGTGGGAAACAAATATTTCGTGGATATGTAGGTGAAATATTTCACCTTTTCCTTTTTTCAAAATGATTTTAAGACCATAGACGTTAAAATAGTATAAATAGTTAAATACTAGAGGCTACCAACAAAAGATAGTATAAGATTTGATGTGCAAATTCCTAACCAACAAAATAAAAGTCGCATAAATCGAAATCCTGACTGGCTAACCAACCTTATGTATTGATAGCAATTTGCAAATGTGTCGACCCCTCTGCTCTTTAATTTTGCATTTAATCTCGATTTCAACTCTTTTTTTTATTATTTTAATATACAAAATGGAAATATTTAGAATACTTACGTGATATATTTGTTTTGTCTGTATATTAACATTATCAGTTGTAATAAATTTTAGTGTTAAAATGTTTGTATCCAAATTTTTTTAAGAATCATAATCTTCGATTGTCAAATATGAAACGCGATATAAAGAAATTATAACAATATCTTTCTCATAGTAACACAAAATATTACAAACATTTGATTGAATACACCTTCCCACGTAGAACTTTTTTTTTTCTGCTAAACAAAAGAATATACATAGTTGACCTCAAGCAAATGAAGCTAAGGTTGAGACCTTAAATCCTTTATAGATGGCTCAACACAAATCGAAACCATGAAAGATAGCAGAACATATGGCTCAACGTTCACTCTAATTCATATTGCAATATAGCGAAACATTTGAAAAAACTTACACCGATAATTTGTAATATCGTATATTTTGATAATCAAACCTTATACTTGCTATTAGTTCCACATGGCACCATCAATATTTTTCAAATAAATAACAAATTTGTATATTTTTTTACATAAAATTATCGTTCTATATAAGCCTAGATTTTCAGAAATTAAATGTATTTAGATTTGTGTGTTAAAATCTTAATACTAAAATGAATCTTCAACTGAAAAAGCAAATCATCGATGAATATATAGTAATGTTTTAATTCGGAGATTGAAAGATTTTTACATCGCAAATACTAGAATTAACTATGAAATTTTGTTGCAACTGTTTCCTTTCATTTTTTTTTATTATTGCCCTTCAATTCCATTTATAATGACCATTTTTTGTGTAACCTTAAATGATATGAGTCCATTATTAGAACTAACTCAATTTCAATCGATTTAAGTTGTGTGATTGATTTTTAGGGGTATACAAACCTATTGAAAAAGTTTTGTCTATCAGATTCTCAAATGAAAAATCTAAAAATTAAAATGTTTATGTTAATATCATTATAATCATCAATCTGATTCAACCGTTTGGATTATTTTGAGCCTTAAAATCATAAGCTTAACAAATTCAATATGTGAGTCGATTTATTAAAACATTGCAAATCACTTGGCAACACCAACCAATATATGTTCCAATATTAGCTAGTGTATGTTTTAACACATGAGTTCCCAAGTGCGAACACACTTTCTTTGTGTGTACTATTTGTTCAACGCATTCACTTCATAGCTAAAATTAACTCCCAACTAGATACTAAAACATGAAAAAACATGCATGGAAATTAACAAGAAGTAGTACAAAAAGAGATTTAAACGTTGGATGAATTTAGGTGTCAATGCATTAAATAGAGAGGCTGGTAACAGACTAATGACATCATTCTTGACCAAACTTTAGATTTGTTTTGGTCAGTTCAAGGCATATGAAGATTAGACCCTAAACCCTAAACATTTTGTATAGTACCACTATTGTACCTAATGTGACATGAATGCGGATTAAGTTGTGAGTTGAAACCACATAAATAGATACTCATAAAATATATGGGAAATGTTTTGATAAAAAAAAATGTGAAATGTAAAACAAAATTAGAAGAAAAGGACAAATTAAATAGAAAAAATGATAAGAGTATATGAAGAAGCCACCCAGAAGTGTAACCATCGCTGCTTCAACTGTAAACCGAACATTAAATGTGTGAGAGAGAAAGTCCAGCTGTGAGAGCTACATGTCCATTGCATCAATTGGTTATATGTCGTAAATTGTTTTAAAGTATTGATTTTTGATGATTAATTAGGATTTAGGACCATCATGGACTTACGAGTATGATTTTTTTTTTTTTTGTCTATTCAAACTAATAAGAAAATTCCTAATTTCCATCTGATTTTGTTATTTTTCCTCTCACATACATCTCTATTTTTGAGTTACTAACTCGGGTAAAATTGAATTCTGAATTCCAAATAAACTCCAAATTAAAAGTAGAAAAAAGAACATCTACTACTCACCAAAATAAATGTTGATATTAAATTTGCATTTCTATATGTATGTAGTACGATTGAATAGAGTCAAAATTAATTACTACTACTGAATAGAGTCAGATTCTAATTTAATTGCTGTAAAGTTTTATTTTCAGGCGAAACATGAGTTCGTTTTT